TATTGTGCTGAGTGCGTTGGAGAGATGCGTGGACTCTTCATAAACATTAATATATATTGCAAGCATAACATCGATAGCTTTGCATTCCTAAGTGGCGCTTGGTGCGGAAATTGTCAACGTGCACTATACATAATTATGCCATGTAACATGTGTCCCATTTGCGCTGAGGTGCATGCTGCACGGCTAAATAACGACGAAGGCTCCTCGAAGATACCGACGACGAGGTCAACGAGGATGAACCTAATGAGAAATAATGTACCGTAAGTGTATATAATTCTTATTTTTAAATCTGGTTTTCTACAGCTTGGTTAATTATATTCTTTTTTACAGTATTCGGTGAACACTCCGTATTAAGAATAAGAAGATTGTGACGGCGGTAGTGGCAGAAATTTTAAACAATTTTTAATTTTTGAAACAAATTCATCATGTATTTTAAATATTTTTGACTAATTAATTAAATTAAATGCAAAGTAAAGTAATAAGAAACAAGTTATGACACGATGCAAGTGCCTCGCGCCAGTCTCGGTCGTGTCGAGCCTGACCGCGCGAATTCCACGCGCGCCCATTTGTGAACTTCAATAGCTTACCGTTTAAATTCTATTCATTGTATCGCGTTTTGGTAAAGAACTTTTCGTCTTAGAATTTCACAGAGAATACGCTGTTACCTGGCGGTACGCCAGTCTGGGACACCCTGTATATTTTGAAAGATAGAGTAACTTTTTTTATATCCACTTCATATACATAGTATTTCGTACAAGTATAACCATATATTTGTTTTCACTTTCTTTAGAGAATAATCAAACGTGTGTATATCGATGTTGTAATGCTATGTGTTCGATAAATTCTATGTTATTACATAACATTTTCAAAATATATACAATGTACAATATTATTTAAAAATCAAAAGGGAAAAATAATGCCTATTAGGCCATCATAGTAATTAGAGCGTGAAGAAACTTTACTAATCCAAGGGTCGAAACGTATATATTATTTGCAGTTTTTATTCTATTAATAAAGTTTATATTCTTCACGCTCTAATCACTGCGATGGCTTTAATAAGCATTATTTTTCTCTTTTAATTTATTATTTTGGAGCCTTTGAATTTTTTTAATTATTTAAAAATGTATGAAAATTACACATGAAATTAAGGTTTCTAAATGTTATTTTAATGTTTCTTGTTTACTAAGTTATTACTCATATGCACACAAACATCCCATTACACTACACAATAATCATTAATCTGGTGCTATTGCAACGATCATTAATACTGAAATTTCTTATCAACATAACAATTTTTTCTTAAACGTAATTCATAAAAAAGAAATCTCTGACATAGAAGATTCGAAGACTTGCATATAATTTCGTAAAAAACAAATACAAATTTCTAAAAAAGAAATCTCTCACTTAGAAGTCTCGAGGGCGCGCATATAATTTTATAAAAAGCAAATACAAATTTCTAAAAATGAAACTCTAGAAGATTCAAAGACTTGCACATAATTTTGTAAAGAGCAAATACAATTTTCTAAAAAAGAAATATCTCACTTAGAAGACTCGGAGGCGCGCGTATAATTTCGTAAGAAGCAAATTTCTAACAACCTTCGGTTGGCAGCAGTCGGGCGTAAAAAAGAAATCTGTCACCTAGAAGGTTTCGAGGGCGCACATTAAAACCCACGATGTAATCTTTTTCACAATAAATGCAATTATAGGTATTCCATTTATAACCGTTCTATAATGTACAAATAAATATTATTAACAAATTTAAGTATGCCACTGTCAAAGTTTA